TACCCGGGGACGATATAGACAATACCAGAGCGCTCAAGTACGAAAAATGTATAACAAATGGTAAAACTTGATAAAATAAACAAGTTACATACCTGAAATGCTTATACATTATATGGAAACTCATTTTAACAGGAGGAAATCCCTTGCAGTTGGAGCTGTGGAGATCTTGTTTACATTAGTAACGCTATATTACGGAACGTGACGTTTCTACGCTATAACGTAGACGAAACGAATTCAGTGTATCGATAAAGATTTTCAACGCTTAAAACTCGTTACGGTAACACGACACCGAATGGCATATCTCCCGATATTTAAATTTTTTTGGCACACTTGTATTTTGAATCGAGTTACATTAGCATATGTCATTGTATGCAATAAAAACTTAGGTCACCATTTTTGTTCTTGTAATTTTCATAAGAAAACGTCAGTCAATGTTAACGTTGACGACAAATTTTTTTGAAGGGGAAATATATAACAAATGGGGCTTGGTATTTTTGTGGGGTATTTGAATTAACTTAAACTTGCATAGTTGATTTATGTATAAAATTGACAAAGTAAACTCGTGTTTTTCATCGAAGGAAATTCAATGTTCACACACGTGTTTTTGAACCAGGAATGATTACACTAGTGCTTTTGTACCAGAAATGATTACACTGATTTTGAACCAGGAATGATTACATTGATTTTGAACCAGGAATGATTACATTGATTTTGAACCAGGAATGATTACACTAGTGATTTTGTACGAGGATTAATTGCACTTAGGCTAGTTATTTTGAACCGGGATTCATAACACGAGTGTTTCAGATCCATACATTGATGAAGTGTCTGGGTACTTTTTTTGATTTGAACACATGATAACACAATAACGTTTTATTTACAAATTAGATTTAAATGATTTTTCTATACAAATCCATAAAATCTTATGATTTGAATTGTCACTAATTGTAATAATCATATACTGCATTGCCGAAGTTTTACAGTGCATTTGCGTTTTAATCGACTTAAAATCATGTCTTCTATGTCAATATCTATATATCATAAAACGGCGGATAGATTGATTCAGATCAATTACACCGGTTCCTTGACAATTATTCTCATTCCAACCCATAAATGTATGCAAACAATAAACAGGTCAATATAAACAAAACAACGATATCAAGATCGACGCTTTCAAGCTATTTACATCCAATATTCTCTAGTGAAAAACAGGTACCCGGAATAAATACACGGTGGAATGAAATTACGCTTACATATGCACCCTCTATATATGTAAAAAAAACTCTGCGCAAAAGTGCCAGTTTGAAATTGTACATGTAGGAGATGTAAGCCGGAGTCTGTATTATGCGTGCCTTTTTATATTATCAAAATGTCAAATCCAGCAACCTGTCATTTACAAAATATAAACCTGACGATATGCGCAGCAACTTTAGTATAAGCAGGTATACAATTTAAAAGACTGCAGTCCTAAGAAATTAGCCGTATAAAACCTATTTATACCTACAATGTAGTACGGATTGGACTGTCGAACGGGCACGGTTAAAACAATATATATATATATATGTTATGGTGCTATTTTAAAAGGAATGTGGTGACAATACAAATATCATAGAATATGCAGTTCATAGCTACAGTGAAATGGTAATTTGGAGATCTGAAATGAAGCAATGTTAGCAAACAAACATGTACGTCATTTGGTCTTTGGTGGAAAGTTGTTTCATTGGCAACTATACCACATCTCCTTATTTCATTATGGTTTGAGGTTTCTCCAGAAACAAAAGAAGTTTAACGACTTAAACAAATATGTACTAGGAAACTGAAATATGTTACTACGATAATTAAAATATGGCTATTGTTGTGAACGTGATAGATTTAGTTCTTGCTATACTAAATATACTTATATAAACCTTTCCAATCCAGGGGACCAACGTTTACTAAAACTACAAATTAGAAGTACAAAGATACTAGTCAATAATGCATTAGTCACGATTTTCTAGATATATGTGGTTTTGATATCATTAGTTGCATAGCTGTTGCTATCTTATTGTAAATCCCATATCTCCATTTATTCACACAAAGAATTCGAAACACCAACACTATTTTTTACATACATAAAATTGAGAATGGAAATTGGGAATAGGTCAAAGAGACAACAACCCGACCAAAGAGCAGACAACAGCCGTACATACATATTACTTGTTTACTTGCTCTAAAAACTCCTTATAAGACTATGAAAACCCTCGGGCTTTTCCCCGACGCCTATTTGAGCAATATGCCCTCCCCCCAAAAGGCAACTCTGTTAATCGTCTTTCAGTCGTTTTGTCTCCCCCTTGAACTTGTTCATTATGTCCAACTGAAAAAAAAAAACACAAAAAAAAACACACCGTCCCCGAATTCCCAGGCGTGAATTAACATGAATATAAAACCTAAATGATTTTAAGATCTCATTGTTTTTAGTCTGTTTCTGCCGTTTGACTTACAATTAATGAGTCATTTGCTTGTAGATTTCGAGAAAATAATTTGTAAGGGGACCAGTCTGACTAATGCCAGCCTCCACCTACCCACTTGCGTTTTTTTAGACTCAAGTGAATACGGGGGGGGGGGGGGGGGGGGGGGTCTGGCTTTAATCAGGCTGTAACGGGACATGAATTATGTAATTTTATTTCTTCCTTACCAAGTGCACATGTATTTCTGAGCCTTTGTTAACTTTCTCCTTATTCCGATGTTGCTGTCCTGTGGAGACCCGTTTATACGATTACAAAGCTAGAACTTTACTTTTTAAATATTTCCGAAACTATATCAGATTTCTTCTGTACAGATCAATGAATTTCAGAGACTGATTACACTTGGAACACGTGTACAGGGAAAGTTATTTGGCCAAATAATCAAGTTCAACCATTTTGTTCCCCATTTTATGCCAAAAAAAACCTCTTTTCTGTATGATCATGAGTTTCAACGTGTGCTTGTATTGTGCTTTTTTGCCTAATTCCACCGTATTCTTTCAGTCCAGTAAATTTCGTTTTTTTCCGAATAATACAAAAGAGTGTCCACCATGCACTTGCAATGCACTATTACTAGAATAAAAGAAATAGAATGATATACAAATGGATGGAAATTAAAAAACCATTCACACCGGTAAAGGAATGTTTTCATGGTTGGCCATATCTTCTAGGACTAAAAAAACTAGAATCTGATATAATCACATGACTATTGTCCATATCTTCGTAAATTTTCAGTAAATGACGGGACAATAAGAAATCTCTTCATCAATAAATCATTACACTTTTATTCTTTTAACAATTTTTCAACCCGAATTTCAACGGAGATGGTCCTGCCATGATACGATTTTGGAAACTGGACTTAGTCCGTAAGTCTAGTTTCACATTAATCACCATTCAAAATACTTTATTTTGGCCCAAAGGTTAATAGCAGGTATGTGTATCGTTAATTTGAAAGTTAAAAAAATGTATTAGATTGCATTAAATTACAATGTTAAATCGAATACACTAATTAAGATATAAAAGACTTTAAGTGAAAAAAACAGTTTCAGACTTATCATTCGCTGCTTCAGTAAAAAAAACTTAACGAGGCCGGAATTTCAGTTGTATATCAACGAGAGCTTTAAAACAATGAGAGAAGATGAAAATCGTCTGTATTAAAGTTGTTCTCCATTTTGTCACCAGTAACAATAAATTCACATTCAAAAAGCTTTTGAACGAGCGGTTAGTATATAAGTTATCGCAAGGAAATCGACAGAGCCGCCTATCAGCCGTACGGCAACCCCAAATAAAAATTCGGGGTTATTCGTTGAAATTCGGGTTGAAAAATGGTTCAAAAAATAAAAGTGTGATGATAAATTGATGAAGAGATTTTTTTATTATTGTCCCGTCATTTATTGAAAGGAACCATGATATGCGAAAACGTTTAAACTGATTTGGTTTCTGTCACTTGGAAGAAAAAAAGCACAATCAGTAAACTTCTTCTGAACAACAGAAGGTATACACATACATAATTTAAAGTGTCATAATTTACCAACAGCATTCAGTGCCCTAAAGTCCACGTTTAAAAAGTTTGAGGTGCAAAATCGTTGATTTAACGAGTTTAAACGTTGAATATCTTTATCGATACATTGAATTCGTTTCGTTTACGTTATAGCGTAGAAACGTTACGTTCCGTAATATAGCGTTACTGATGTAAACCAAATCTCCACAGCTCCGACTGCAAGGGATTTCCTCCTGTTAAAATGAGTTTCCATATAGTGTATAAGCATTTCAGGTATTTAACTTGTTTATATTATCAATTTTTACCATTTGTTATACATTTTTCGTACTTGAGCGCTCTGGTATTGTCTATATCGTCCCCGGGTAATCTACCCGGGAGCTTGCACCATTGAAGGTAATGGAGGGCGAGCTGGACTCAGTGTCAACAAAAAAAATAAAAATTGAAAAAAAGTCACTGAGGCCAGGGCTGGACTAACTTATTACTTTCAGAGTTTCTGTTTATTTCAATGTTATAAACTTATATATATAAATCATTGTTTTACCGGTATGAAAATGATTTTGATATGGGCCAAAGTCAATTAAGTTGTCCTTCTTGCTGGCCCCCTTGATCAATTTTCTTTGACTTTTTTCTTTGCAACAACTCTTTGATGGGATTGCAGGTGGCTTGCAATTGTTGCAGGGCCACAGTTCTTGCTTATATTCCAAGTTCCCTCTTATTTTAGTGCCATTCCAAATTGTTGGCCACTCATTTCAGTCCCTCACTTTGTAAAACATTAACCAATCATTTATTGTTAATTTGATCTTTATCTGGATATGTATGACGTGTATGCCATATGCATTAGGCAAACAGCATTTTAAAGTGAATGAATACTTTAAAATATTCCAAAATTGCAGCTAGCTTGAATTTTCACAGAGGATATGCTTTTAGTTTTTAGATACCTGGATACTTATGCAAATCAACACATGTATTAAGGTTAATATTTCATGTTTGTTTTATAGCTAGAACATCCGGACAGGCAAGTGCAACTAATGATAATGGTAAGTTGTATGTAGAAAAAAGCCGCGCCAGAATATATTTTTACTGAGTTATTGAACAATACATATATAAAATAAATTAGAGTTCTTTCTAAATTGTCTTCTTTCAAAGAAAGGCTCCCTGAGTAGAGATTACATACAGTCAAAACTGTATACAAAGGGCACATTTGGAACCATAGAAAACCTCCTTTAAAAAAGCAGGTGACCTTTGCATTGAGGTTCTAAATGCTTAGATAATAACGAGAGCTGAAAAAAAGAAACTGACCTGAAATGACAGGTTTTTGCTTAATCGAAGTGACCTTTATAGCAGGTTTAACTGTACATTTGTTGACTTATATTTGGTAACAAACACATTCAGCTAAATTGCACCTTGAGGGGGGCACTTCAATTCTTTGTGGCAGGGATAGTCAGCCGAGACATCCTATTAAGTACCTAATCCTTTCATATATTTTTAATATTTAAAAACACATACTCTATAATACTTTTAAGCAAACATTAGACAAATAGCTATATTACCCTATTTTATGAAGTTAGGGTAGATTTGAAAAAAGATCTAATCCATTAACGACTGTGGTTTTAAACCCAATATCATCTTTAATACTAACATTTGATTAATTAGTTTTAGTTACTTATGATATACCGTATAGCAGGTATTTTTCACGTGTGTAGTTTCGCAATGTAGGGGCTTCAAAGTAAATGGAAAAATTTTGGCAGATTCTTAAGTAAAGTGTGGCAGATACTGAAAATAGAAAAATCACAAAAATACTGAACTCCGAGGAACATTCAAAACGTTAAGTCCCTTTTAAAATGGCAAAATCAAAATCGCAAACGCAACAAACGAATAGATAAAAACTGTCATATTCATTTTCTTATGTAGACAATGGTTGATTAAACCTGCTTTTATTGCTAGCAAAACCTCTCACTGACAGTTGCATAAAAGTCTATTATATTGACAACGATGTGTGAACAAAACAACCAGACATAATAGGTCAAAATGTCAAAAATAGGGGTACAGCAGTAATTATTGTGCTATAATCTTAATCACTAAAAAAACATATATGTAACAAAGAAGCACAAAAAGGCATATAGACAAAGCACATTTGAAATGGTTGTAGTTAAAAAGTTGAAAATTTGACATTTGTTTATTACATCAACATGCTCAGAATTCTTAGCTGGTATAATTTTCTTAGGCTTAAAAAAATCACTCTTTGGAGTTCAACGAACAACTAAAACTTTTACATCTGTGAAAAGGAAACTCATCAGTTTAATTATAAAACACCATGTTATTATATAAAATACATGTAAATACATGTATTGTACAATACCAATTTGCTTTTATATTGTTTGAAATAAAATACACTATTATTGACTTGCCGACCAGAAAAAAAATCATTCACAAAACGCTTAAGATGTTAAAAAGTAACAAACGTATGAATAGATTTTCGTTTATCCACCAAAATACCGGAAAGCGAAACACAAACAACATGCAAGAAATAACCTTCATTATAGTAATCAGCAACCTTATCATATACATAATCTAAATTCCTCGACCGTATCATATATTATAAAGCTTAACATAGTGATCAATTCTAGCGGCTCATCCCTACCACTCCGTCCATAGTAAGTATTCACCTATAAATTTGCACACTATACCTATTATTTAATGTATAAATCTTCTTAATACTATGTTCTTGTGATAATTACCTGTTTGGAGCATGCATTTGGTACACCTCACATTGTTTTTAAAGAAGTCCTAATCGTTGTTTTTAAATAGGGCTAATAACAGTATACTGTAATTAGAAATTAGTTATCTATTTAGATAATTGAGTTATTACAAATTGTAATAAATTACTGAAATACCTTTCTTTGTATTTATGGTTGAAACATATATACCGGTACACACTTAAATTTTGTTTTCAAGATCTGATAATTTACACTCATTTTGTATCGTCAGTACTGTATATTGTTGACCTGTTAGAGTATGACTTTATGTTGCGTAAGTTTAAACTTATGTGTTTTTTTTTGTAGAAAGTAGGTCACTTCAGGAAAACAACACACAATACAAGGAACAGGGCATATGTATGACCTGTAATTCAAAAAATGTACCCGTAGCATTTTTACAATGTGGACATATTGACTGCTGCAAAGACTGTGCATCTGCCATGCTAAAATGTCCTATGTGCAAGGTTGATATAAAACAATCATTAAAAAGGTATCTATCATACTTGTAGTCTCAGACAAAGCTTTATTAACTCCATATAAATAAGAATGAGATTACTCTGACATTTATTGACCTTTTTAAGGACTTGCTCTACTGGTTGGCTTCAAAGTAGTCCATGTAGAACACATGGAAACCCTGACTTATCTCAAAATTGTAAAAGATCTGTTTTCAAGATGATAAATCATACATCATAAATTTTGATTCCCTGTCTAGTTTACTTTTTCATGTTCTAACCCCTTGTAGTACAAATAAAATCGTTCTCTTGATAAAACACAATTTTGTATAGGATATTGCAATCCTGCTTTACTTCCTAACAGTACTCGTAATTATCATGCTGCTTTAACAATTCTTTAATAATTTTAAAATTTTTAAAAAGTTTACATTTAAAAAGTACTTTCAACTTACAAAATGCCCCCAAATCAACCTTTTTAGATTTAGGGACCCGCTATCATTGAATCACATTTATCTGATATTATATACTGAAAAAAGTGCCTATTCTTTAAAACACGTACAATAAATGCAATTGTCAGCAATAATACTTACTGTATTAATGTTATTTTTTGTCCACACCATACCTAAATATAATTTGAAATAATTCAAACTACTCTTCCAATCTTTCCGTGAGTGATTTCCATCACTTTGATTATTTGAAGTCAATCAACAGACGCTAGCTTTTGGAAATTCTGTAATTAATATTCAACCAAGTGTTCCAGAAATTGTTTTACTAGACAACCATGATATAAATACAAATCTTAATCAGCACCAGTTCCAAACATCATTTGTAAATATTGACTTTTTCATGAGGATTTACTTTCTGGAGTACCTGATTTCGCACTGGTTTTGGTGGGGTTCTTGTTGCTTGGTGTATGGTTTTCTGTGTTGTGTTTTGGATACTGTGTATCTTCTGATCGTTTTTCATTTTCATATGCTCGTTTATAAAGACGGGATTTATTATGGTATGCTGTGTCGGTTCGTCTGTGCTCGTAAAAACTTTGTATAATAACTCTTAAAAGCAATCATCAATTGTCATGAAACTTCTGTGATTTTTTTTATGTATTGACGCAAGCCTCCATTTCATTTTTAGCTCACCTGGCCCGAAGGGCCACGTGAGCTTTTCTCATCACTTGGCGTCCGTCGTCCGTCGTTGTCGTCGTCGTCGTCGGCGTCGTCGTCGTCGTCGTCGTCGTCGTCGTCGTCGTCGTCGTCGTTAGCTTTTTACAAAAATCTTCTTCTCTGAAACCACTGGGCAAAATTTAACCAAACTTGGCCACAATCATCATTAGGGTATCTAGTTTAAAAAATGTGTCCAATGACCCCGCCAACCAACCAAGATGGCCGCCATGGCTAAAAATAGAACATAGGGGTAAAATGTAGATTTTGGCTTATATCTCTGAAACCAAAGCATTTAGAGTAAATCTGACAGGGTAAAACTGATTATCAGGTCAAGATCTATCTGCCCTGAAATTTTCATACAAATCTGACAACCCGTTGTTGGGTTGCTGCCCCTGAATTGGTAATGTTAAGGAAATTTTGCAGTTTTTGGTTATTATCTTGAATATTATTATAGATAGAGATAAACTGTAAACAGCAATAATGTTCAGCAAAGTAAGATCTACAAATAAGTTGTCATGACCAAAATTGTCAGTCGACCCCTTTAGGATTTATTGCCCTTAATAGTCAATTTTTAGCAATTTTTTGTAAATTTTTGTAATCTTTTACAAAAATCTTCTTCTCTGAAACTACTGAGACAAATTTAACCATACTTGGCCATAATCATCATTAGAGTATCTAGTTTAAAAGTTTTGTCCGATGACCCCGCCTTCCAACCATCATGGCAGACTTGGTTAAAAATAGAACATAGGGGTAAAATGCAGTTTTTGGTTTATATCTCTGAAACTAAAGCATTTACAGCAAATCTGACAGGTGGCAAAAAAGTTCATCAGATTTAGATTTATCTGCCCTGAAATTTTCAGACGAATCCGACAACCCGTTGTTGGGTTGCTGCCCATGAGTTAGTAATTTTACAAAAATTTTGCAGTTTTTTGTTATTATCTTAGATATCATTATAATATTTAATATCTAATACTATTAATTATGATTTTAACCTCATTTTACATGATTTCCAAAGCATCAGTAAATACAGGTGAGCGACACAGGCTCTTGAGAGCCTCTAGTTATAAATTTCAGATTTTATGTTTCAGAGTTATGGGATTTTATTCATTTAAAATTGGATGATGCTTTGAGCAGATTTGATGAAACTTTGATGACTTGTTTATATCTAATGAAATAAGTTTTTTTTTTAAAAACTTTCCGATATGATATTGCAGCGTTATAGAACTTCATTCGTTGAAAATAGGTTCTTTTTTGTCAATTGGTACCATCTTGTGTACATGTCTTTTTTTCGGGGTTGGGGTCATTTTGAGCAGTGCCCACAGTATTTCTGTTTGATCATATAAATTCACACAAAGCATAAAGAAGAGCTAAAAGGGTGACAGGTGTGTCAAGTGCTCATGACGCAGTTCTTTACTTGCCTTAGCATTGTCAGATTGTGAGTTTGAATATCCCTTTGGTATCTTTCCCGTCTCTTTTAGGAAAGTTACAGTTTCATCACAGAGCTATTTGCAACAAATGGAGGAAATTCAAAATTATATTTGTCCATCTGAAGAAGGTATCAATGTACAGAATACACAACAAAGTGCCTTGAACAATTCTGAGCCATCATTTGAGATCCAACAGTTATTTAAGGAGTCTGAATTTCATCTAGGCAATGCCATTCCAATGATTGAACCAGTGCATGGTCAGCTTTCAGATGATGGTCCATCAGTTCCAAGAATATGTGATAATAATACACCAATTATTAGAGCATTGTTTCAGAATCAAAATAATTTTGAAGGTAACACATTATTTTATTATCCAATTAACTAGTACTTCATATGCTGTGTGTCCTTTCAAATTGTTATATAATGTCACCATTTACCAGATAGACATTGTAAGATATGAAATACTTTACCACTGAATACCACTATACTGTAGTTTAAATTCATGAATATTCATGATATACTCAAAGTTATTTAGTTAAATTGTATAAAATATTTCATGTAAAAATATATATATTCCAATATTACACACACACATTCTCACGCAGCCTGCCACATGTATGTTTCAACATATAGACATAGCAATCTAATTTCAGTTGTCAAAGATGTTGCACTATTTACAGCATCAACATTAAAATTCACTCTGTGGTTTGTGGTCTGTAATTATGAAATCTGGATAGATAAGCTTTACTAGAGCCAAAAGACAGTATCTGCAGTAAAATAATGAGAATTTTAATTTCATTTTCTGTATTTTCCTGATATACATATATTGACTACAGTTTATTGCAGATAACATGTAGATACATTTTGGTTTAAACTTTGTTACACATGAACTACCTTGTTAAACACAATCATAGAATTGTAGGACACTTTGGCAGATTCTGTTTCATGCTATGTCGACTATTATATTATATGTTCTTGCGTAGGTTTGTGCTGTATTTCTGTCACGTATTGTTGCCATTTTAGCGATATTTGTTAACATTGCCATAATGGCAGGAGGTTTGGCTAGCCATTAAACCAGGTTCAACCCACCATTTTTTCTTAAAATGTCCTGTACCAAGTCTGGAATCTGGCAGTTGTTATCAAATAGTTCATTTCTATGTATGTAGTTGTCCTTTTCTGGATTTGGACATTTCAATCTCTAAAGGAAAACTCCATACGAAAATTTACGACAAAAGAGACGATTTTTCATTCCCTATTATTAATTTTCCCTTTTTAGACGGCGATGTTCCTTTGGCTCCATCATACGGTGTTTATATATCCCAACTCGTTCGTTATGCCCGTGTGTGTAATGATGTCATAGATTTTAACGAACGTAATCAATGCATCACTGGTAAATTATTAAGTCAGGGATTTCGTTACCATAAATTACGTAAATATTTTGCTAAGTTCTTTCATAGATACAAAGATTTGATTAGTAAATTTGGCTGTACCTGTAGAAAACTGATTAAAAACGGTATTTCACATCCTAAATTTTACGGTAATATTGTACTTAAAGCGCGGAAATCACTATGTGATCCGTGTAAACTCATCGAACCTTTAAACAAACTTATTAGTAAAGGTTATCTTACCAATGTTGTAATTAGATCTTTGAATATAGTTTACAATGGCACTAATATCGATTTTGTCATCAGCAAATTAAAACATAACTAAATTTGTATTCTTTTCAAACGAGATGTATTAAGACACACCCACGTTCATTTTAATCTATAAAGAGGTTAAACTCCTAACTATCCTACTGTCTGTCGATACATTTATTTTGGCATTGCACAAGTCATGTCTTTTTTGACTGTCCATGACGTTAAAATACTAAATCACTGGGATGTGTTTTATTTGATTTTAGTCTCTGATGCATGATTTTTTATTATTAATTGTTTTGGCTTTTAACTAGCTGTCAGTAAATGCGAGTACTCTCAAATCGTACTTTCTTGTTTATTTGACCTGTTGATACAAATTGTAATGCTTTTTTGTTATTTAATGTTATTCAGGGTTATATCTGGTCTATATACCAGCTTTGATAAGTGTTTGGTATAACTATAGATTTTCATTTCGTACTATGAACATCAAAATTATTTATTTTGTAAAAATATTTCCTTTCTCGATTGGAACTGTACACGTATACCTAACAACAAAATTATTTTCATTGACCTGTGTTTAAAGTTATTGCAAATGGCTGATATTTTTGTTCGAGCATATTGTTTTTCTTAAATTGTTTAACATTTCATACCGATATAACATGTTACTTTTATTATTCTTCCCTTAGTTTATTTGTTTTGTATTTACATTGTATCATAGGTCAAATTTAATTGTTCAGTATATGTTCACTGGTGTTAATATATCCTTTGATTGAGTTAAGCTATTAATTTCAGTTGATATTTTATAGTGTGTCCATCTATGTTGTGATGTTATACTATTGTTTCAGAAAAAGGGTGAAGGTTTGGTACCATTAAAACGTTTGAACCCGCTGCATTTGTTTGCACCTGTCCTAAGTCAGGAATCTGATGTTCAGTAGTTGTCGTTTATTGATGTGGTTCACAAGTGTTTCTCGTTTTTCGTTTTTTTATATAGATTAGACCGTTGGTTTTCCCGTTTGAATGGTTTTACACTAGTAATTTTTGGGGCCCTTTATAGCTTACTGTTCGGTGTGAGCCAAAACTCCGTGTTGAAGACCGTACTTTGACCTATAATGGTTTACTTTTATAAATTTTGACTTGGATGGAGAGTTATCTCATTGGCACTCATACCACATCTTCTTATATCTATGTAGGCGTGTGTTTTTGTTGCACTTCAGTGTTCCTATTGTTCCTTTGTTTTCATCTTATAGTTGACGTGTTTCCCTCGGTTTTAGTCTGTAACCCGAATTTGTTTTCTCTCAATCGATTTATGACTTTTGAACACCGGTATACTACTGTTGCCTTTATTATTCATACCTGTCAACCTCTAAAAATGAAACTGCAGATCATAAGGTGGACAAACCTTTTTCGGTGGAATTTTAGAATTCAGAGGGATTTTGTCAATATTCTATAAAACATACAAGTTTCCGTATAATATTAACAATTGTGATGTATTTGCTGAAAATAATGTAAAATTTTGATTTAAAATTTCGTTATAACCTCATTGTATTTGTTGGATATGAATAATTTATCAAAAGAAATATAAAGCAATGCCCTCTTATTGTTTTATTCACACTATTTTGTATTAATGAGTTTTATAATATAGTAATGTAAATATATGTTCAAATTGTTTTAAGATAATTTTAAAATATTTATTTATATTTCTTAAAAGCAAATTTAATAAATCAGGACATAAAATTGTATGTCAATCGTTACATACCAAACTCCGAGTAAAAATCAAAAGCTCAAACACACCAAACGAATCGACAACAACTATCATATTCCTGACTTGGTACAGGCATTTTCTTATGTAGAAAATGGTGGATTAAACCTGGTTTTATAGCTAGCTAAACCTTTCACTTGTATGACAGGGACATTTTGAAACAACGGAGATATGGTACGATTACCAATGAGGCAGCTACTAACCATTATTATAGCAACGAATGGGTCATCAATGATAAACAAAATTAAACTATTGTTAACTATTCTAGACCTCTCACTTGTATGAAAGAGACATTTTAAAACTAAGGAGATATCGTATTATTACCAATGAGGCAGCTACTAACCATTATTAAAGCAAAGAATGGGTCATCAATGATAAACAAAATAAAAAACTATTGTTTACTATTCTAATGTGGTGAACTTTATATCGTCAACCAGTATAACCACAGTGTATCTACTTTTAGCGCAAGCGCATAAATACACACAACTGGCTTTTCCGCGTTACACCCAACTTATTTATACTACCAGGTATACTCATTTTGCAAAACCCATGGTTGACGTAGGCCATAATTCAGATGAAATACAGTTATGTCTGTTCTAAAGCAAAAAAAGAAAAAAAAACAAATCCGTCAATTTCAACTAATTTTTTGGTGTAAAATATCATAAACCGAACATTCTGCGAATTGATGCTATCGTCTTTGGCAACTAAACAAGGTGACGTCATATGTATGCTTCCCGCATCAAATGTAAACCCTTGGCTTTTTAAAGGTTCTTGTACGCCTCAGAATGCAATAGGATTACATAAAAAGAACATATTTAGGTGAAACATGCGAGTTTTTTTTATTCATTATTATCAATATTATTATATAGGGGTAAAACGGAACAGCCAAAACAGTATCATGCGTATAGGGCTTTCACGGTTAAAAAAATATCGAATTTATCCTATTAGAAACGAAATAATTCATGGCAGCCGTAGATTTGTCTTCATTTATCCGTGGGGTGGGTATTTATAATCGTATTTTACCCCTCGCTGTCGCTTAGGATAAATAATCGAAAATAAATGCCCAACCCATGGTTTAATAAAAACAAATCTACGACTGACATGAATTATTTCTTAATTATACATGGAGAAAAAAGTTAAAATTTGTACAACTTTTGTTTGGTATTATTGTGACAAAAGAATATATTTAAACTCACTATAACCACAACCCCTGGATAGGAAAAAAGTTTAAGAATATTAAGTACCATTACTTGTTATTAACTGAACAATAAGTTCTTCTATAATTTCATCGCTTTTATTTTTTTAATTATATTTCAGGCTTACCATTAATCATACAAGTCTCTTCTGTATCTTCACAGTTCGACAACACTTGTACAATAGATACACCTTTGATGATAATTTTTTGTCAAATGTTTACAAATCAAAACCTTTATCAGCTATTTGCCAACAGTATTTATGAAATTTTTAGAGTTGTAAGTATTTTGAATCTCATATACATGTGCCTTGAAATCTTGAAGTTTCTGCATGCCCATTATTCTTTATATAATTGTTTTGTACTTTCTGTTTTGATATTTATTACATCAACAAATGATTGATGGATGGTGTTTTACAGGTGCAGCACTATCGGCTATATCATAACTGACAATACTTAATTAAGATAGGAAGCGAACACACCTGCCACATGCCAACTTCAGTGTTGACAGTGTTGTAGTGATACAAAAGATGAAATACTTAGGCCACTCAGCCATGCACATAGGCCTCTGTAGTAACAAAAATGGTTGTAAAATCAATTAAGAACAAAGTGGTGTCATAATTTTTTTAATGGTTCATTTTAAGCTTTTCCGACTGAAAGGTCAGTTGAGCTTTTTTTATTATTTGGCGTCCGCTGTCTGTCATTGTTCGTTAACTTTTACAAAAATCTTCCTCTCTGAATCTGCTGGGCTAAAGTTAACCAAATTTTGCCACAATCATTAGTGGGGTATCATTAACTGCAGCTACGTATAACCAAAGATGTCGAACAGTGTTCCTGGTCAATATTTCTTTTGTCAATTCTGTAATAGTTATTTATTATTCTTCGGTATTTTGTGTCTTTTTTAACGTATTTCTAAATTTCATAGTTCAACCGCGAAATGGAGAAAACAGCCGTCCAAAATATCGCGATGATATGGGTAACTGAAGTTTATAAATTGTCGATGATATACGTAAATGAAAATATTGACTTCCGTAACTGATTTAATTTCTATACAATTCATTTGTGATCATGTTTGAAATGAAATAAATGTCTCCTGTTATCAAAACTGTAATAAATCGGAATCTGAATTGTTCTTGGAAGTCTTTACAAATATTATGTGAAAACATATTGATCAGGCTACCAATTCTGTAATTCTATATAGTCAGTAGCATGCATAGTGAGCTAGAGGAAGGAAATTGGGTAGCTTATCGCAGATAAAATTTGGGAGGAAATTAAGGCATACATGTGGCTTATAACGAAAAAAAAAAAAAAATACAAGGTAAAATTAAAAAAGGACAGTCCTTTAGCAAATGGCAAAACTCAGATCTCAAACAAATCAAACGAATTGATAACAACTGTCATATTCTTGACTTGGTACAAGCATTTGCTTAAGTTATGTAGAAAATGGTAGAATAAACCTGGTTTTATAGCTAGCTAAGCCTCTCACTCCCCCCCCTTCCACCACCCCCCTCCGGAAAAACGGCTACAGGACACCAGTCAGAATGGGGACGTAAAATCCGATGCCTCGTTTAGAGAGAGTGTCTTGCTCTCTGCACGTTCAGAATCTTTGCAACAACTCTGAGGGGTCCATATCCAATTTACCATCATTTTTTCGAGGCAGTCCAAATTTCCCCGACCTTTATCCCGGACAGGCTCTATTGTAATAACTACCTATTGTATCTATTTTTAACTTTTTCTAGTCCTGAACATAGATCAAAAAGAAGATGTGGTATAATTGCCAATGAGAAAACTCTCCACAAGAGACCAAATGGCTCAGAAATTAACAATTATAGGTCACCGTACGGACTTCAACAGTAAGCAAAGCTCATACCGCATAATCAGCTATAAAAGGCCCCGAAATGGCAAATGTAACACAATTCAAACGAGTCAACTAATGACCTTATTTGTGTTAAAAAAAAGCGAAAATTAAATATGTAACACAGCAACAAACGACAAACACAGTATTACAGGCTTCTGACTTGGGACAGGCAAATGCAGAATGTGGCGGGGTAAAACATGTTAGCGGGCGCCCAACACTCCCCCTAACTTTGGACAGTGGCGTAACAGTACAACATATGAACAAACTATAAAAATCAATTGAATAGGCTTAACTCATCAGTTGGATACAAATTAAAATAAATCTAACAAACACGCAGAAGACGGTGACGTGAAAGGGAACATGTACATCCCAACAACAAAAAGACACTGGATACAGATCTCAGAGTACTCGTAGTTACTGAAAGCTTGTTCAAAGCCAATAAAAACTAATAAAAAAATCATGCATCTAAGACTAATCATTACACATCCAACAGCCAATGGATTTAGTATGAAGACGTCATAAACAGTGGCATTTTTCTAATGTTATAATAATATTGTAGACATACATTTTTTTCAATTTCCGATAATTTCTAATCTTTTGACGAATTTATGACAGCTTAATTTCCGAAAAATGTTTGTCCGATCTATTAAATCGAGGATAATGAATGAAGCAGAAACAACGAAAATCAACAGTTACTGATATCCTTTTCTAAACGTTTATTACAGTTACGGATATCAGTCTATACAGTTACCCATATTCTTGTGTTTTTTTTTATTTGGACGGCTGACTTCTCCATTTATCGGTTGAACTATGGAAAAAACCTTTGTATTTCAGTTTCAAACTTAGTAATACGTTTAAAAAGACACGAAATAACAAAGAATGATACATAATTATTACAGAATTGACGAAAAAATAATTACCAGAAACATCGTCCGCCATCTTTAGGTATACGTAACTGCAGTTACGGATATCACATTAACCCCAGTGATTATTTGTTTAAACCACAATAGATAGAAACTTCAAAAAGCAAACATGGCTAGCAGAACAGTTTATTTAAATAAGTCAAGATGACTGAAATTTGCAGCTAATTCTTCATAGAGTTATTGCACTTTTATGATGATTTTTACCAAAAATGGCTATTGTTGAAGATGCAGGGGAGCAACACAGGCTCTTAAGAGCCTCTACAACACTAGCGACAGCAAATCATAAGATACAACATTCTGACCCCTTTCTAACATGACTCACTTGACTTATTAACGTCTTTGTACTGTTCATGATCAACATGAACTTTTCATGGTTGCTCCAAATTTAGTCACAACAAGGAATAGTTGACTTATATTTATGGCATTTTAGTTTGTGCATGTTCATCTTAGAGGGTTGATAGATAATAAACTTTATCTCAAAGATTTCCAGCAAAAACGATTCAAGCAAATTATTTCAGCAGATCAACTCCTGTATTTGATATTCATAGTTCTTACTTTATAAGCATAACAGAAAAATATTCAGCCTGTTGTAGTCTTGTTTTTGAGTTTGCAACATTTAAAAAACTTCTCTCATCACTGTTTTGGCTGTGCTTATGATGGATCTACCTGATTGCATCAAGGTTTATAATAAAATTAATTTTGATTTTATTGTAGGAACTGCCCAATCTGCTTTCGCTGTTAATGAGGAGAGACTTTGATGATGTTAGAAGAGAATGGTCAGAGATCATTGGGCATAGGGGAAGAAGAAATTTTTATGGCTCTGATGCAAATTTTGTTATGAATCCTTTTAGCAGCCTGCTTCTTTACCATCACAAATTCAACTGTACCAATTTTAAATGTCCTACAAATGAGAGATCATTTGTTATTCCTGGATTGACTTTACCACAGTAAATAGGCAGCAGTAATTGATTTTTAGCTCACATGGCCCAATTGGCCAAGTGAACTTTTCTCATCATTTGGTATCCGTCGTCAGTCGTCGTCGTCCGTCGTCCGCTAACCTTTACAAAAATCTTCCCCTCTGAAACTACTGGACCAAATTTAGCCAATCTTGGCAATAATCATCATTAGGCTTGTTTACAAAAATATGTCCGATGACCCTGCATGCCAACCAACATAGCTAACCTGGCTAAAAATAAAATATAAGGGTAAAATTCAGTTTTTGGCTTATATCTCTGAAACTTAAGCATTTAGAGCAATTCTGACATGGGAATTAAAAAGTTCATCAGGTTAACATCTTTCTGCCTTGAAATTTTTAGACGAATTAGACAACCTGTATTTGGGTTGCTGCTCCTGAACTTGTAATTTATGAAAATTTTGCAGTTTTTGGTTATTATCTTGAATATTATTATAGATAGAGATAAAATGTAAACAGCAATAATGTTCAACACAGTAAGCTCTACAAATAATTTAATATGACCAAAATTGTCAATTGACGCTCTTAAGGAGTTATTGCCCTTTATAGTTAATTTTTAACCATTTTTCGTAATTTTTTGTAATCTTTTACAAAAATCTTCTACTCCGAAACTACTTTGCCAAATTAAATCACACTTGGGCACAATCATTATTGGGGTATCTAGTTGTGCCTGCCAACCAACATGCCTATCATGGCTAAAAATAGAACATAGGTGGTAAAATGCAAGTTTTGTCTATTATTTTGAAAAACATTATTTAGAGAGAAAATCTGACAGGAGCAAAATTATTCAGAATGTTGAGCACTACCAATTGTCCAACATGTCAAAACTATCAGATGACTTCTTATAGAAGTTATTGCCCTTAAATGACAAATTGTACTATTTTCTTTCATTTTTTCCTACTATCTTGAAACTATAATAGATACAGAGAAACTTTGAAATGATAAGCAAGACAAGTTCTACAAATAGGTCAACACGGTTGAAATCTTCAATCGACTCCTTATTAGAGTAATTGCCCTTTGATGATGATTTTCACCATTTTTTTGCGTTTTTGCCTTATATCTAAAAATGATCAGAAAAACAAAATCTACAATGAAGACAATATGCAGGAAATTGTCAGACGACTCTACAGAAGTTTTTGCCCTTTACAGACGATTTTCACCTCTTTTTTGTTGCGTTTAGCAATATATGATGGAAAATTATGATCGATAAAGTTCACTTTAAATCACAAAAATGATCAAGTCAAGATCTACTAACAAGTCAAATTTTGCTGATATAGTTAAGTAGACTGTCACTCTTCATAGGAGTAATTGCACATAAATTAGGATTTTGTTTATCCTCTTTTGTGATTTGAGCAAACACTAAAAAAGATAGAGAAAACTAAATAGGCGAAATTATCAGCAATGCAAAATCAACAAAACAGATTTTTGTCATAAATTCAATTCCTGTCTATAAGATTGGAGAGTATTCTTTGTTGAATATGCACTTAGACCATTGTGAGCGACACAGGCCCTTTAAAGCCTCTAGTTTTGTCTCACAAAATGATAACAATTTCTTGTTTATCTCTAGAAAAATCTGTTAAAAATAAGGAGGTTTAATGTTATTGCAAATTAGACTACTATCTATAATTGACTAAGTCAAAAATCTGAACCACTACATATCTTCCTGTGCAAACAAAACAACACCTTTTAAGCTGTTAAAGGTCCTAAGGTGACTAAATCTGAATAAGTTCAAAAGAGTAAACCAATGTCTTAATTTAAACTACAATGAAATACATTACTACCTTTTCATGTGTCTTTGCTAAAGTTACATTAACAGATGGAGTTCAAAAGGATGTCTTTCCTAATAAAAATAAGAATAATTATATCATATGTATTTCCAGGCAAGCTATTTTGGCTCCTTTGAACTTTTGTTAGGGTCCCTTACATGTAGTTATAAAAACAAAAATAAATGGAAATTTAAAGCAAAGAATCGAATAGTACAATTTGGAAATTTTTCTATAAAAAAAAAAAAAAAGATGTAGTATGATGCCAATGAGACAACTATCCACAAAAGACCAAAATAACACAGAAATTAACAACTATAGATCACAGTACAGCCTTTAACAAAGACTGATTATATAACTAAAAATTTTAAAAAGAGATATGAGAGGCCATTTGCTACCTAAGCTTATATTAAACAGGTACTACGCTCTGCAGAAATAATGTTTGATTTATCGTTACAAACAGGACTGCCCCTGTCTCTAGAAATAGAATATTTTTTAAAAATATGTTGTAGAATCATATGATGAAGCAATTGATATTTAACTTTGACAAAATGATTTATTTTTGGACCTCTTACAAAATACTTTTGACTGTAGCAGGATCAATTCTCATAGGTATTCTGGGAGGCCAAACCACATCTTAAACTAACTTATTGACTGAATGAAAATAAATAACTTAGTCTTATGTTTAAAGCTAAATAGTCTAAAGAAAAGTGACTGAAAACAATTAGTAACGGTATATAATTCATTACCAAATAACATAGATCTTTTAGAATACAAACTCCCAATTAATAGAAATTGATCAATTAACAGACCACGGAATACTAGCTTCGTGGCCATTGCACTGACCCTATATTTGGGTTTACTGAGCTATCCTTCAACTCGACTAATAGCCAGTAATTTGACAATTGAATAAGATTAGCTGAATACTTTATATATATACTTTCAAAGGTTCTAAAATTTTATTTGTTCGATGATAAATTTAAACTTTTCAAAACAAGATGAATAAATTTCTAAATATTTTAATGTCTTGTACTAACAAGTTATAAATATCAAAATCTATAAGATTCAACTAATAATTGTATGTACATCTTGAAATAAATATTGATAGAAAATCAATACCAAATCATCGTTAATGACATTAGCCATCAAATGTAGTCAAATAATATATGTGTGCTCCTTGTGAAGAATCTTTGTTGAAGCCCACATCTGCCGTCAAACGTTGCCACCAATTTTTAGAAAAGAATAATAATTTATCAGAGACCAAAAACAACTAACTTTCATATTTATATCTACTCATTTATTATCAATACATTTTTACAGTGAAGGTGACTCAATACAGGTTGTGTAGCAATTGATATTGAATGTTAAGCAAAAGACTATCATTTTGTCATTTATTTTCAGGCTTCCAATAGGGGAAGTTTTTAATGTAACAACATTCCAGCATCTAATAAATAACTTTGCCTCCCAACTGCAATGTCCATGCAATGAACATATAGTTCAGAGCGTTTCTGAATCAAGAGAGGAGAATGCACGATATACCTATGTGTGAGTTCCTTAAGGGTGTAATATCTCATTCATTGATAAAATTGTGTCTTTCATAACATCTGTGTGTGCACATTTCTTCTTATGTTTACTTTAATCTTCGAAAATTATAAATTGTACACTTTTATTATTAAACCTTCATAATAGCACATCCAATAGAATTAGTATTTGCTGCTTTCCTTGATAAGCAAGCGGCATTTAGGAGTAAGAATTTTGACTGGTTATCCTGAAGTAGGAACAATAAATTCAGGTATTATGAAATTTCCTCCTGATGACTGTTACCTTGTATACTAGTACCTATTAAAACTGGCATAACATTGGGAATGGAAACAGGTAGAAGAGACAACAACCTGACCAAAAGCACAAAACAGCCCAAGGCCATCAATGTGTCTTCAACTTAGCGAGAGAATCCTGCACCCAGAAGAAGGCGTCAGCTGGCCCCTAACCAATAATGTATACTAGTTCAGATAATGGACGTCACACTATAAAACAAATAAATGTACCAAAATAAAAAAAAAAACATACAAACTAACATGACAAAGGCAAGAGGTTCCTTACTTGGGACAGGTGCAAAAAGCGAATGAAAGAAACATGAAAACTATATACAAAATTTAACAAAGGACTACTAGCAGTTACTGACATACCAGATCCATACCTCATTAAAACTGATTGAAAGATTATGTCTTTATCTTATGACAACCAAGCACAATCCGTCCTGTTAGGGGTTTACTTTTATGCCATCATAAAATATATGAGAAGAACATAAACCGTATCATGCCAACAACTGGTTTTAGAATAAATGTGTTTATTTCCGATGCAAAGACCCTATGAGTGAATCAGTATTCCAAAAAAAATGCAATCTTTAATGACCTGACAACATTATGGTTACTATATCCCTTTTTAATAAGTATGTTTGAATGTTTGATTAGCTTTTGAGGTGAATGAAGACATTGTGTGTATTGCATAGGATATTACCATAAAAGATGAAATTTTGAAAATTGTGAAGTGTAGATACCCTGTGAACGAGTTTTGTATTAAGTATTTTTCCTAGTACGCCTCTTAGTTCAAAGCATGGTTAATATTTATTTCACATTAACTATTCTGTACTGACTATGCTCTTCATTTACCACTAAACACTCAAAAGTCATTCATTATCATTACCAACACCACCACCTATTGTTCTAGTGTAAATTAGAGGAAATCAGGTCCATTTTGTTACATCTTGTGATACGTTTATTTGGCAATCGCCATGGCAGTCAGCACGGTTTTAGAACATCAGTTGTTCGACCTGTTAGTCAAATGCGTTTTGTTAAAATATACTTTTTCACTTTTTGGTCTTTTGGAAAATGTTGTTTGAGCTGTATTTAGACCCCTCTACCAAGAAATTTGCTTTGCATGCACAAGTATAAAAACTGCGGTTTTTATCCATCGCAATCATAGGTTTAAACGTTGTTTTCAATTTAGACTTTTTATATTTTTTCGTTTTGGCTTTAATGATATTTTCCTTCGGGTTTATATGATTCGTTCATCCTATTTCGACTCTTCAAAATTCAAGAGTCTATCCTAAATTGAGGTCATTTATATGGCCTTCCAAATACAGTTTCGATTCCTAACATCACTGAAGAGACATTAATTGTCGAAATCCGGATATGTTGTACAAATTTTTGCACCTCATGTTTGCGGTATACCATCTTTTCCACAAGTTTATTGTTTTCTGTTTGGTATTAAATTAATAATTAAGATCCATTTTGTTACATCTTGTGATATGTTTATTTGGCAATCGCCATGGCAGTCAGCAGGGTTTAGGAAAACACCAGTTGTTCGACCTGTTAGTCAAATGCGTTTTGTTAAAATATACTTTTTCACTTTTTGGTTTTTTGGAAAATGTTGTTTGTGCTGTATTTAGACCCCTCTACCAAGAAATTTGTTTTGCATGCACACGTATAAAAATTGCGGTTTTTATCCAACGCAATCATTGGTTTAAACGTTGTTTTCAATTTAGACTTTTATATTTTTTCGGTTAGGCTTGTTTTATATTTTCCTTCGAGTTTATATGATCCGTTCATCCTATTTCGACTCTTCAAAATTCAAGAGTCTATCCTAAATTGAGGTAAATGATATGGCCTTCCAAATACAGTTGCGATT